AAACAAAGTATAACATATTGCTGTAGGAAACTTTAAAAATAAGCGAATTTCCTGTAATTAACCCACTTATAATCTTTAAATCGAGAATAAATATATAAATTGTCACATTACGACGAGGATGCTGAGAAAGTATAAAGTCTCCACTTCAATTTTAGTAATTCAAAATTTTTCAATCACGAAGACAGTCGCAATGTCTGTGTTCAAATTACGTACTGAAAATACAACTCACAATTACTGTTACTATATAAACTTACCTTCCGAGGATTCTGTACACATTGTGTGGCAAACTTAGTGTATTTGTAGTTGAAACACTTCGTTGAAGTTCCCTTTTAATAAGTGATCGCCTCTCCTATAAAGGTTTGATGCCACGACGACGAAATTCGTCGCAATACATTGTGTATGCGGAATACAGATGGCTGCACACGAGTGATTCTATTGAATGTATTGAATGTATTCAAAATTAGAAATGCCAGCTATTTCGAAATGTATCAGTTAAAGTGTCACTATAGACACAAGCCCCAAATATGATTTTGGGTATGGTCTAATGTTTGGGTTATTCTAAATATTCTATAAGGGTGCATATAATTACTATTTGTTCCCCGTTCTAGAGGTGGTAAAAAGTCAGGGGGTTGAGGAAAGAAATTGACCCTTTCGGGAAAGAAAGAAGAAATTGGAAAAAATTAAGAGTCTCAAAAACGTTGAAATTTTCAATTTTTGTTTCTCTCTTTGAGAATTTCCCTCAAAAATGCAACGAGTACACAATAGGCAGCTCATTCTTACTCAGGTCAAAACGCGGCTTTAAAATCTGACAGCCTTAATTTTCAGGTTTTTAGTTAGACCGTTTTGGGGTTAGTGGGACTAAGTTCACAATGTACAGTATGTATAGCATTGATGTTTAGTCAGTCATCTGTAGTTGAGGATTTTAAACAGCAAGCTCGTTGTTTGAATAATATCTTACATTTATCTTTCAATCATGGCAACCGTACTCTGATTAAAACTACAACAACAACTTTTATAATTATTAATAAATATTTTTCTCATGTTCTAAGAACAGCCACTATATCATGCAAATCTTAATCATGACAAATAATCTGCAATAAACTATTTGCAAAATATTTATATGCTATTTATATGCGTGAGACATTCGTATTTATATCACATAAACTTGCTCTCACCAAGGCATGTGATACAATTACACGATGTCATCAACGCATCCAGACAAGCGCAGAGTGCAATGGGGCCAGAGTGCTCATGCCAGGGATGGATTTACTGGGGGGGGTGGGTGCTGTTGGGTGCACACCCCCCCTAGCCCTGGCCAGGGGGGGGTGCTATTTTTCATGATAAAGCAAAAAATTATCAGAGACAAAATGAGATTCAGTAATTTGAGTAATAACATGATGATAAGCGAACTGTGAACAACAATTACAATTCAAATACTGTAGCTAGACTTTGCAGTGGTTAAGCAAGTTGATGGATGTGTAAAGTCACTGGAAAGCAATTGCAACGTACTCGTCCGGAAAAAATTTTTCCCTAAAAAGTTGTCGATGGGGGGGGGGAGGTTGTTGCTTTCCGAAAATTTTTTTGGCGGAGCACCCCCCCCCCTACCAGACCATGCTGGATCCATCCCTGTTATACTATATTGTTGATGATATATTTTATAATGATCACAACTATAATTAGATTGTTGTTGTCGTTGTGTGAAATTTAAATTTCTCTTGCGTAATTTTGATTGGATAGTAAATATAAACTTTGCTGTGGGTGGAAAAGCTATACACCCTTTCGATAATTACGTCACAACTACATTGTTTTCAATTTTAAAAGGACCGCCTTAAATGGAAAGAATTTCAAGTTTTTTTCTCTGTGGGCTATGCACAGAGAAGCAGAACATCCTTCTTGTACACATGGATGACCCGATGACCTGGAGCCTCGTTTTCGTATTATTCCTTGAAATTTTGCTGCTTCACACTTTGAAATCTACCAACCTCTGAAATCTGCATCAAGAACTCTGAACCACCTTATGAAATATCTACCACTGCCACACATGAACACATGAAATATGTAACATGCCCTAAAATGTGCAACTCCTTTCACTCTCGCCTGTATTCCTTTCTGAAATCTGCATTAGTTCAATGATTGCCTGGGAACTATACTTTCAGCTTTCCAAGAGAGTTATCCACTTGCTGTCTGCTTGGAAACTTGGCATATGTATGCAGAGCCTGGAATCACTGTCCAAAATTGTTCACAAAACGCAAATGTCTGATCAAAATAAAGTTTGATCTGGGAACTTTCAATTATGGTCCAACATTTTTCAATTTCCTTTTCACTCCCAGCGTCTATTGAGTAAATTATATCATTCAGTAAATAATACTTGAAGCCAAGCACTATATAGTTGAAATTTGTAGGATTTGGTTGTGAAAACTGTAATTTAACTGGAAAATATCCAATTACCAACCGTCCTTTCAGGCTGTGTGTCTGTACATGTACATATTATATACGTGTGTGCCTTCTTAATTCTTGACTTACAGGCCTTAAAATATCTTTTATAGGGCCGTCTGACAAAATGTCCGATGACATTGAGTTTGGGTCGGACATATGTCCGATGACCTTCAGTTCAGTTTTGACTCGGAAATAAGTCTGAATGGCACAAATGAATATCAGCGCAATGTATTAATTCTGAACGGTAAATGTTGTGAAGATATTAAATAATTTGTTTGATTGTTTCTTTCATACTTATTTCCAAGCCAAAATTAACTTGCTTTCCAGAACAGACTAGAAAGCAAGTTAAAAAAGACTTCGACAACTTAAGCCTGTTTTCCACTTTACCATTTCGCTCGTCGCCCCGCGCTCGACTACGTTAAAACAACATTTCCAATTCACCTTTTACACAATAGTACTCTGATTTTCCATTTAACATACAAGCCTCTAGTCCTGGGCTAGGGTACATTTTGATTTACGTTGGACAAAGCTACAGTTCGGTCGGACACAAGTACACTCGGGTCGGACAAACAATAAACCTCAGTTTCACTTTGGTCGGAGAGAATGTCCGGTGGTTTCCTCTCTACGTCGGACAATTTCACGAATGCGACCCATTGACGACAATGTCCGTGACCGATCGATATTTTAAGCCCTGACTTAAAACATTTATTTTTAAAATGAATTTTTTGAAAACCTTTCTTTTTATCAGGAAAATTTCAGCACTGATCAGTACAGTGATACGTCAAAAGACTTGCTCAATCTCTACATCAATGTCATGTTGGTAAGAGTTCGTTTTTTTATTGTAATTATAAAGTACCGGTAGTCAATGTCAATCTTGTATAAAATACAATAGATCAATGTTCAGGCCATCCCAGGAAGGAAAGGGTTGGGGTACAATGAAAGGCCTTGGGCTTGTTAGGCGTGCGTTGGCGTGTGATCAATTTTTAATTCCCAATGCACTAGAATTCCAAATCCTCCCCGAGTCTTTTAAAGCGGTATGCTAGGAAAATCGTAGTTTGCGCTAGGAAAGTCGGAACGCCGTCAAGGAAATGGTGGAATGTAAAGGACGTTAGGAAAATCGGAGCACTGTCAATGGACATTATGGACCTACTGCTGCAGTATACTAACTTCCCGATGGAGGGCCTTTACTGTCGTTCCAATTGAAGTGTTGCTCAAATATTGATTCAATACATTACCTCGGGCTGACCAATTCATTTCATCAAGTTCCTCGAGATATTCATACACTTCCTAGTATAATTGTAAACTTCCTGCTGAATAGTTTGAATGCACCAATCACCTTTGTTGTTTGTGCAACTAACCAATCATAAATAGAAAGGAAGTGACCAGAAATGATCAAATACTTGGAATTGGCGCTTTCACAGGAAGTGTTATGAATATCTCGAGGAACTTGATCAAATGAATTGGTCAGCCCGAGGTAATGTATTGAATCAATATTTAAGCAACACTTCAATTGGAACGACAGTAATAGCTCGAAACGTCGAAGTTTTAATTGTATTTTTCAGGTAGTTCAATCCATGGCCGGATTTTGAGGGGAGGTGCTTGAGATCGTTTTGCACTTCCCCTGAGAGTTTTTGCACCTCCCCTGAGAGTTTTTGCACTTCCCCTGAGAGTTTTTGCACCTCCCCTGAAAAGTCATGCTACTCCCCTTGGGAAAGTTTCAACGGTAGATCAAAGTGAAAATTTGACATTTTTTGGTTGCTTTTTTGTTCTACACTTCATAAGAAAGTTTTTCTGTAAAATTGAAACAGTGATAGCCATGCAATTCATCTCTATGTCAAGTATCCTTTTAATGCAATGTTTTGAAAGAAATTTTGTGGTAATTGTAATGAAGGGAAAATTTGGATGAGTTGTTCAGTCATAATTAATTAATATGCACATGATACATATGTACACTACATGCATACGTCAGGTCGTTGACTTTGGCCCGTTCTAAGCCCTAACTTTCCATGGGGGTCGTGAGGTAGACCGCTGCACCTCCTCCAAATTTTTTCCACCTCCCCCACTATTTCCACCAAAATCCGGCTTTGATTCAATCCCGCTCAATCCGCAGTTTTCTGGCGTACCGCGATGCATGTTATTGTGTCACAAACATAAAATATTTTCTAAAGTTAGACTATTGTGTCGGACTCTTAGAAATGCTTCATAATTTTTATTGCAATATATAATATATAATATACCGTAGTGTATATATAAGGCCATTATAAATATATTTTGAGACCCTTCAACCATTACTGAATCGAGTGAGATGCTAAACAAAATCTAGATATTTACCCATAACCTAAAACATGGCACTATATACCCTATATAGATATACATGAACTTGTGGTTATAGAGCTCGACACGCAACTGGCCTCTGTAGCTCATTTGAGTTGGTTAGAGCGCTGCACCGGAATCGCAGGCCGCAAGTTCGATTCCTGGCTGGAACCTGTTGTTGCATTTTTCGCAGCTGTTCCTGGTTAGGTGTAATAAATGTATATAGGATATTACACGGTTGCGAAGAGATATGGATTTTATGTTCGAGTGGCAAAAACAATATCTCACGAGTGAGCGCAGCGAACGAGTGAGATATTGTTTTTGACACGAGAACATAAATCCATATCTTCTCGCAACCGTTTAATGTTCTGTTTATTATATGGACTTACTCAGAGTGACAAAAATACACACAAAGACGACATGTAAATAAGCACGCAAAAGATCAGTTTAAAAGTGATATTTTTTAAAGGTGATCTACAGTCCGTATGTAAACAAAGCCTTTGTTAGTATTCAGTATAAATTTCGTACTCAGATAGGCGACAGCTACGACTTTCTCGCGTCAGTACGGGATGGCGTAAGCATACAGCATGCGTTTCTCTTGACGAAACTCGTACTCGCAGTCGCTGCTAAAGCTCCCTATTACCACAGAGTAGAGACATACAGAGACGTAAATAGTGTATCCACTTTTTTTGTGCGCATGCTCGGCAAGTTACTAGATGCATGCATCTGATTGGATGACGACCTGATGACGACTCACTTTAAACTTGCTGAGCACGCGCAGTTGATCATTTTTCGCCCGGTCGCCTGAAAAAAAGTGGGTACATGATAACGTAATCTTCCGCAGTGTTTACAACGGTCAGTTACGTCTCTGTATGTCTCTACTCTGTGCTATTACTGAATCGAATGAGACACCAACAAAATCTCGATATTGAGGCGTAGACTATTTGTCATGTAAGTTTTGTACATGTATAAAAAACAGTGGATGGTATAAATTTGTATGATCGTTTCATTTCCATTCTAGGGCCAAGCTCAAGAATGTCTCTTAGAGAAGTCCATGTTAGATAACAGGAAGAATTCGTTAGTCGCTAGAATCGCAATGCAGGTTTGACATTTGTAGCCTATGCTATACTGGATCTATAATTAATGTAGTAGAAAGTGTAAAAAGCTTGACCCTGGTTTAATGGACCTATTCCCTAATGAACAAAATTTTGACCTATAGACAAGTCTGGACAAACATTTCATCACAGCTTGAAAGAGCATCACAAAATTAGTAATATTACGAAGTTTCATTGCGAAATGTTGAAAAGTGCGGATAATATATCCCTGCGAAGTTTGCCGTTTTTCAGTCATTTTGTATTACGCACGGGAAATTGATACCTTTTTTTCAGAAAGCGGTATCAATTTCGGTATCGGGAGTAAAATATTGTTTTTAATAACACGAGAAGATAAAAGTCCTATCTTCAAGCCACCGTGTGAAATCCTCTATGTATACAGTTGTGACTGGACCATATAGATATCTTATATGCACGAGATAGCGCATCTGTTTTAGTAAAATTGAAGCCAAGAATATTCCAGCGATTGCTCCATTTGAATAGATGGCGGCCATGTTGGTAGTTCCCATGCACTCGCTAATAAACGCTTGAAAACAACAATAACTTTCATCATTTGAATAGTTTAAAAATGTATTTGGAATAAGTTTAACTTAATGTTTAAGTTCCCTGTTTAAGAAATAGAAAATATACGAATCCTCTCATTTTATGGGAATATCCTGAGTCTGCAATCACGGCTTCAATTTTTGAAATGCAGAATAATTAATAGATGCACTGTCTGGTGTATATAAGTTATCTATGGACTGGACCTAGAAATTTACTAAAATGTGACAGGACCTAGTAATTTACTAATGTTACTAAAAGTCACGTGATCGATATCTTCACTAGTGAAGATATGGAAAATTTCTCACTGTGTATTTTTTAGTATCTCACTCTCTACTATAGAATAATATATATTATTAGTATCCTTTCTACCATATTTTAGATTTACCGGTATTGTATTTTTCCTAGGTTCAAAATTATTATACCGAAGCCATTGCTTGCTTGACCTCTTCTTTCGGAGAAATACTACCTCCCAGAATGCACAAGGTGATAATTGTTTGTTGTCGTTCGTTCATGTTGTTTTTTGTTTTGTTTTCATTGGTATATTTAATGTTGCTGCGTTTTGCTATAAAATTACATATCGCTGGCTCAACTTGCAGATAATGAGTATATATAGGTTGCGTGATTCCATTTTTAGCTGTAAGCTGTTGGTCAATTAGAAGACACGCAGTAACTACACTGCATGTATAACATTTTTAAATGCTATTTGCAGCTCAATGTTTTTGTGAATGACTTTTCTGCACGAAGCGTTTCACATTTTTTATCGGAAATGTATATTTTTTTGCTGTGTTGTGATATTTTAAATCGTTTTCACTCCTTTTTTGAGAAAGCACTGCTCGAGTTAAGAAAAGCGCGCAAAATCACTCGCCTTCGGCTCGTGCTTTCGTGCGCTTTTCTTAACTCTAGCAACATTCCCGCGTGTTTGGATCAGGCCATCCAAACACGGAAACCATAAAGTAATTGTATAGTCCAATTCTAAATCCTTTTAGTGATCGTAGAAAATTTATGTTATTCTCGTTCTTTATCTCTAAATTTTGAAAATTTTTACTTGCATTAGGGAACGGATCCTCAGTAATTAAGTCGCTGCTGTAGAGAATTGTGTTAGGTTTTTTCTCCCCATAGTAAAATTCCGTCACGGTGGTGTTGATTTCTGAATGAAAACAGCATGAATGCAACTTAATAATCATAACAAATGCATATATTTATTTATGCACATATATAAATGCACATATTTTTTACGGAAATCTCAACGCATAACAACAAGGTATTACAATAGGGTATTACAACAAGGTATTACAAATGTAATAATCAATATTCAACATGTAGTTATGCAAGGCAGAGGCTTTGTAGTGAATAATTGCTTCAGGTATGAGCCATGAACCCTAACCCCAAAACATAAAATAACATAAAAATCGGCTACTCATGTTTTGACTAGCACATAAACTACGAAATTAGGCCTACTGCTATTTATTATATGAAGTATAGTGCTTTATAGAGATTTCGAGCACTGATAAAAGTGATAATCTCACATGTGAGATTATTTATGATAATCTCATATGTGAAAATTATCGCTTTTCCAATTATCGCTTTTCTGTAAAAATTATCGCTTTTCAAAGACTGTGCTTTATATAATAAACAGAAAAATACATGGGTACTTGGAAATACCAGATTTATTTCTCGTGTTGAACATGATATCTCACTCGTTCGCTGCGCTCACTCGTGAGATATCATGTTCAGATATCGTGTCCCAAAGATATATCGTGTCCCAAAGATATCGTGTCCCAAGAGATATCGTGTCCCAAAGTTTGTCAAAAATGGCAGTTTATTCGGCATACTAACATAGATGCTTCTAAATTAAATGCATCTGGATTACATTTGAATAGCCAAGGAACGGCAATGTTAGCAAAGAACTTGATCGAATCCCTCAAGAATTGACTATAAATGAACTCCAACCTAATGATATTGACTATTTTTAGAAAATTACTGAGCTACAGAGACCAGCTGTCGACTAACTGAGCTACAGAGGCCAGCTGTCGACCAACTGAACTACAGAGGCCAGTTGTCGACCAACGGAGCTATACAGAGGCCAGTTGTCGACCAACTGAGCTATACAGAGGCCAGTTGTCGACCAACTGAGCTACAGAGGCCAGTTGTCGACCAACTGAGCTACAGAGGCCAGTTGTCGATAAACTGAGCTACAGAGGCCAGTTGTCGACAAACTGAACTACAGAGGCCAGCTGTCGACCAACTGAGCTATACAGAGGCCAGTTGTCGACCAACTGAGCTATACAGAGGCCAGTTGTCGACCAACTGAGCTACAGAGGCCAGTTGTCGACCAACTGAGCTATACAGAGGCCAGCTGTCGACCAACTGAGCTACAGAGGCCAGCTGTCGACCAACTAAGCTACAGAGGCCAGCTGTCGACCAACTGAACTACAGAGGCCAGTTGTCGACCAACTGAACTACAGAGGCC